CTTGGCTTCTTAGCCCAAGAATTGGAAATAAGAGCTCATAGAGATGTACACAAGAAATATACCTTACTTGGAGCTGAGCTGTTGTAGAGATTAAAATGGGATACACTGTCAAGATTGACAGCTGGCCAATCAGTGAAAATACTAAAGGACACTGGCTGCAGTCTGGTGTCTTTTTTTATGGGGACTAAGGAAAGGAGGAGCTGGTTACTAAGAGGCATAGTTTGGGAGGAAAAGTCACAACTTTTAAGTTAGACATGGGATAGAAACAGATTGTTTAAAGGAGGTAAAAGTCCACCAAGAATGGGAATGGTCAGTGAGCTGAGGAAAGAACCCATGGAGCACCCAGGCAAGCTGTGTGTTCTTTCATGAGCACAGTGCCCCGCCCCTTTCATGCTTCTCTGACTATTTGGAGAACGCTGTTGTCAGATAATGCCAAGATAAAGAAAGGTGCAAGTCTTCCTGGGAGCCTGGCTCCTTTCTCGTTTGTCTGGAGGCAGCGTCTCTCAGCTCCTGCACCCACGTGCTCACATTGTGTTGTTGCACCTTACATGGCTGCTGGAACTTTCTCTACCTCCAAAAGCAGAGGCCTTTCTCTTCCTGAGCTCCTAAGCGCCTCAATCTCTGGTTTACCACTTCATATGCAGCCTTCATTCCCTCCACCTTCCTCCTTGCAAAGAAAGCTAGGAGCAAAATGAGCTCTTGAGCCTTGGGGGCCCCTGTGTGCCAAGACCAGCTTTCCCCAGAACCCTAGTAATTAAGAACCCCAGTTCACACTCTTAATACACTGGGGCCGGCAGCAGGGCCTTCATCCAGCTATTAGGGCTCTGGTTACCTTGGTCCACGAGCCAGGGCCAAGGTCTGTTCCTGCCTACCTTGGCTTCCTTGTTGCCAGTATTTCCCAACACACTCTAGAAAACTAGCCGAGCACAGCCAAGAGTGCCCAGTGTAGGAATTCAGCTGGCTCAACAAAGATATGTTCCAAGGGTGTTCCGAGGGAATTGTGTTGATTGAGCAGAGAAATTCCCAGCATCTTTTAAATAGCAGCCCATTCACCAAAGCATCAAAAATGTAGTTGGCACTCTCATCAAGGTAGGGAGCCCTGGCTGGTTTCGGGCAGTAAGGACTATAATGAAAGGCACCCGAGGCTATCCCTCCTGCCTGGAAGGAAGCCTTCTGATGTTCAACTCCTCTGCCATTTTCCAGGAGACAGTGGTGAACCTAGCAGGGCTCCTGGTCAGCCTTTTGATGCTTCCTCTGGTATCAGGTTGCACAAGGTAAGGCAGGGGTGAGGCTAGGGCCAAGATGCGCAGTGCTGGCAGCCTCTCCCTATGCTTACTGGCTGTGTCATTCTCCTGCCCCAGCCTCAGCCTTGGATGTTTCATTCTCCTGACCGCACTCCACATCTATGCCAACTACCGGGCAGTCCGAGCGCTTGTCCTGGAGACCTTGAATGAAAGCCGGCTGCAACTGGTCCTAAAGCACTTCCTTCAGAGGGGAGAAGTACTTGAGCCTGCTTCAGCCAATCAGATGGAGCCATTGTGGACAGGTGGCCCAACCCTTTGGTTTCATGTCCCCCTGTTTTCCCAGCCTTCCCCCTCTGCCTGAGCATTCTGACTACAGCTTCCTACAGGTTTCTGGCCATCCCTGTCTCTGTCCCTGGGTGTTCCCTTACACCACTTGGTCTCCAGGTGAGTGGCCCGGTGTCTCCTGCCTCACTGCTGCTTCATACACTTCCCATGTGGGCCCCTGTTTCAGTTACACACTCAGTTTTGGTCAAGTTTTACAGTATATCCTGTTCCAGGTTTCTTACTGTCATTGTACAGGCCTATAGAGAGCTTGAGGGAAGCAGTGAATAGAACCAAGTAGATATATTTTAGCAGCAAACTGCCCTCTAAATACGTCTGTGCACACCCATAGACAACAGCAACCCTCAGCCTCTCCTAATGAATGGTGGTGAATGCAGAGACCCATGGCCACCCAAGGTACACAAGAATAAAAGGAGGCTATAGACCCATCCTCACAGGTCACTTATACCATCCCCTCTAAGGCTCATGGAACATTATGGGATAGGAGGCAGGAAGTGTAAGAGCTGGAAGACAGAAGAAAGAGCTCTGAAATTCCATGTTCTACAGTATGAGCTGGTTTACTTTTTTGCTATCATAAACACCATGACCAAAAGCAACTTGGGGAGGAAAGGGTTTCTTCGGCTTAGACTTCCAGGAGACAGTCAGTCATCAAGGGAGGTCAGGGCAGAACTAAAACAGAAGCCATGCTGTTTACTAGCTCACATGCTGGCTCATGCTCAGCTAGCTTTTTTATGCAACCCTGGCCTGCCTGCATAAGAATGGTGTCACCCACAGTGGGCTGGTCCTTCCCAAATCAATCATCAATCAAGACAGAATCTCATGGATATATCCAAAGACCAGCCTGGTCAAGGCAGCTCTTCAGTTAAGGTTCCTTCTTCTCTAGTGACTCCAGGTTGTGTCAGGTTGCCAAAAAACTAAGCCCCACATGATACAACCAATGTAGTCACTAACTCGGGTAAAGTGACCTGCACTAAGTCCACATAAGGCTGGCCCTAGCAGTCAGCCAAGGAAGAGGACTATTAGTGATTAATGGCTCCTGTGAGAAGGGAAAATCATTGTCTTTAGCCGTGTATCCACTGTTGAGCCCACACCGGGCTTCAACTATAGCTCCAAGCCCCTAGTCATAAAGAAGGCCCTGGTTTAATCTCAGTGAGCCACAAAACAAAATAAATAGACAGCAAATATAAGCGAGAGATTTTGGGGGAGAAGGAAGATGGAGAGGGGTGGGAGGTAGGTGGGGAGGATTTAAAAGTGATCAGTATGTATGATGTGCATATGCAAAACTAAATAATAATTTCAGCAAAAGAGATGCTTATAGATGAAGGGAGGGAGGGTGGTGCATAGGGAGCATGGGGGACCGTGCACAGGAAGGAAGGAAGTGTGGGAGTGGGGTATAAGTAGTAGCTAGGAAAAAATAGGCAGTGAGCAGAAGGTCGCTGGCAAATGGGTGGTTACAGCCAACAGTTTGACCAAATGGGTCCTCCTGCCCTGCTTTCCCCTGCCCCAGTGCGCTCTTCTCTCCATCAGGGTCTCTGAGCTGAAGCAGCTGGTGGAAGGGCATCAAGAACCATACCTCCTTCACTGGAACCAATCACAAAGTGAGTGTGCTGTGCTCTCCCAGCTCACTTCCTGATTCCAGGCCTTCGGTCTCTGGACAGTTTGGAGTCTGCCTAGTGCCCTAGAGAATGCTCTAGACTAAAATTTTGATGTATTCAAATTAACAGCTTCATGCCTAATGAATTCACTGTTTCTCTAACAGCAGTCCTCAACCTGTAGGTTACAACCCCTTTGGGGATTGAACAATCCTTTCGCAATGGGTCTTATATCAGATAGCCTGCACATCAGATACTTATATTATAATTCATAGGTAGCAAAATTGCAGTAAGAAAATAATTTCATGGTTGGAGGGTCACTACAACATGAGGAACTGTATTAAAAGTTTGCAGCATTGAGAGCTTGAGAACCAGTGATCTATAAACATGAAGCTACAGAAGCTGCCTTATTATCTGTGACATTTTTCTAAGGATTGAATGGGGTAATTATGTAAAAAGTACTTTGTATATTGTAACATATTCAAATAAGACTAAGCCCATTGGCTTTTCTCTTGTCTCTTACCCTGAGTCCTTTGTTAGGGAAACAAGTTCTTGGGCTTGCTGATAACCTCTCCAAGCTACTGTGAAATTGTCTTTGGAAACTAAGCGTGTCAGTTTGGCTAAAAAAACAACTGAAGTTAAAGTTGGAAAGGGAAGAATGGGGACTTCCATGCCTGGAAGTGGCCTCAGGCAGATGAGTGACTCAGAAAGATGGGTAGAAAGCATTTGAGAAATAGTTCTTTTCTGATCTGTGTCTGTCCTGTCTCTCCAGACCAGGTCCAAGTGGCTTTGAGCCAAGTGGCAGGCCCTGAGGCTGTCTTAAGGGCTGCCACTCATGGCTTGGTTCTTGGAGCCCTGCAGGAAGATGGGCCACTTCCAAAAGAGCTAGCAGAGCTGAGGGAGCAGGCTCGGGCTGGTAAGAGCTTCATGGTCTAGGGCTGGCGACAGCAACTGTGAGAAGGGATGGGCTATCTGTTTTGAAGAGGATATGAGAATTTCTGATTTTACACCAACCAGGCCCTAAGAAAGAAAGCTGGATTCTCGTCAGGGAGACACATCAAGTGTTGGACACACTGTTCCCAAAGTTCTTGAAAGGTAACACCTGTCACAGTCTGATCCCCTCCCTACAGGGTTGCTGCACAGTGTGCTCTCGGAAGCTCTATTGATACTCTTAGTCTGTAAGCCAAGTTGGTCCTAGAGCACTTACTCCATCCTGCCATTTTATGTGCTATGCCTGATCTCTGACTACACAAGTGAAATCTCAGCCTCGTTTTCTGCCATAGATAATCCCAACAAAAGAGCCCAAGCAGTTCAAAAGGCTGCACCAGCCTGTGTTACTGCTCATGTAACCTGTCCCCAGGTTCAGCCCAGAGCTTCCTCCCTGGCCTCACCCTATGACCTCTTTGTAGGACTGCAGGCTGCTGGCTGGAAGACTGAGAAGCACCATCTAGAAGTGGATGAGTGGAGGGCCACATGGCCCCTTTCTCCAGAAAAGAAGGTCTCATGAGAAGCCCAGCTAGAGGCCCAGAGCCCAGGACAAGAGCCTGGAGCAAGGACGCTTCAGCGACAACAGGATGTTAGAAGGGCAATTTTATTTTTGCATAGGCAAACTGCTGTGACCAATTGTCCACCACCTTGTGGAAAGTGATAACCAATCAAATGGACTGGACCCCAGGCAGAGAGGAAGGGAACCAGTTCCTTCCTACCATTACATTCTTGCCCCTTTTCCTTTTCTGGGACCCACTACAAGGTTCCTACTCTCATTTTCTTTGAGGCTCAGGCATGCCCTGGTTGCAGCTCATGGTACTGAACACATTTGACTCTATGCATAAAAGCCCCAGAGGAACACTGCCACAGTCATCATGAGCAGGGCATTGAGGTTGACTGCGCGGGCCCAGCCAGGGTCCTCACTGATGTCCTCCAGTTGCCGAGTTGTTGCAGCCACCTCCTCACTGGTGGGTGGAGGACTCCCTGACCCACTCCTGCTCATTCCACAGAACCAGAGCAGGCACCGGCGGAGCAGGCTCGGTGCTGGGGACTGGACATCTGGAGGAAATGGCAAGTATACAATTAGTTTGAAGGGAGTGAGCTCCTCTAGCTTCCTAGCACATCGGCTGGGGCGTGCCTTACCTTCCATCACCACCGCATGTTCCTGGAACCTGTTCTGCACAGGGGACGGGGTTGGGCTTTCTAACTCATCAGTGTCTAGGTCCTCCCGTTCCTCCTTGCTGTGCCGGAGACTGAAAACCAGGCGGTGGAGCTGGGAAGTTAGGGAGAATGGACCAGGTGGGAGCTTTGCTCTCCACCCCAGAGCCACACTGGCATACCAACTCTGTCACTGCCTCCCTAGCTCCTGGCCTGGCCTGCACACTTGCCTAGGCTCAGCTCACTCAAGACTACTCTTTCCAGGATAGCCTTTGCCTTCACACTGAACCCCAAACGCTCACCTGAGTATTAAAGTCATTGGCCCTGCCCAGTCACATCCTATGTTTCACCTCAAATTTTATGTCTACACCCAGAATTGTAGTTCTTCAGACTCGTCTCAAAGTTCTGATCACAGTGTGTTCCTATTGTCATTTGCTCTGCTTCCCCAAAATGTCACAGATAAATGTGCTTGCCCTGGGAATAAAACTTCATACTGAACTCCCAGCCTTCTCCTACCAGCACTCGGTATGAAGTTTTTTGAGTCTTTCTCTGTGGGCATCCCTTGAAGCAAACCGGCTAAAGAGCTGAAAATGGTTCTTCCATCCTGTACAGTTCATGTTTGTTCCCCAAGATCCCCTCGAGGCCAGCACTTACATGCTTCTGTGGGATGGGTGCACTGCACAGGGAGACTACAAGTGTGAGGAGGCCAGAGCAGATGAAGAGTACGATGGCAAAATAGAGGTAGTGTACCCGGCAAAGCAGCGCTGGGCATGCTGAGGGTCGCACACAACTACCCGAGCCAAAGAAGAACTCAGGTATGAGCCTCGCTAGCCCCATCAGCAGGCCCCCAACTAGTCCCCAGAATGCACCCTGCAGGAGAAACAAGCATTAGCCCACTCAAGATGCCCAAGCCTCACCCAGAGTTCACATGGCCACGCCCTGCTCACCTTCTCATTAACACGGGGTACGAAGAGTGCGAGCACAAAGACTGCCGAGACTGGAGGTGCCAGGTAGCTGGAGATAGACTGGATGTAGTCAAAGAGCTGCCCGCCCTGTGCCGCCTGCACTACAGGCAGCCAAGCCACTGACACCGCCACAATGAACACCACCCAAAGCCTGCAATAGAAGACGATCAGATTTCACCAAGGACCCACCGTCATTACCCTTCTGGTGTTCCATGTCCACACCCCAGGTTCGTTTATGGAGCAGGAGATGGGATCCAAGCCATACCTTCCAACAATCAGCAGCTCCCTGTCGCCCGCACTGGGCCGCAGGCGTGTATAGATGTCCATAGTGAAAAGTGTGCTACTGCTATTAAAGATGGATGCTAAAGAAGACATGAGGGCGGCCAGCATGACTGCTAGCATGAGTCCACGCAAACCTGTGGCCAACAAGAGCTGTCAGGCCAGGGCCATTAGTGTGTTCAAGGATTGGCAAGAGGTGACCCTCCCATAGGCAGTCCCTGCAGGCTTGGCCAGAGGCAGCCCACTTCCAGCTCTCACCGTTGGGCATGAGCCTCACAACAAGCTGTGGGTAGGCGATATTAGAGCAGCCCACCTCAGTGCCACACACCCGCTTACACACCTCAGGTACCACACATGCAACTTCATCTGTAAGAAAGAAGCCATAGGTAGCTAGGAAGGATTATAAATCTGGAAATAAAGATCACTGAAGCTTAGAGTGGGCTGGGGATCCTAGAGATGGTGCTCCTGGTGGGAAGCAGGACTGGCATACCAGATTCTCAAGTCTAAGGATGCTATAAGAGGCAGGCACTTGGATCCTCGCACAAGAAGGTAAGGGGGCTGGATGGGACACAGCACTACTGAACCTAGTATGATGCAGACATTACCTGGGTAAAGAATGCGGCTGATCATGCCTGGCATGACCATAAGGAACATGGGCATCAGCTTCAGGTAGCCACACAGGATGCAGCCAGCTTTGATGTGAGTCAGATTCTTCCCAGCCAGGCAGCGCTGCACTATTACCTGTGATGGGGGTGTTCAAGTATATGGATCATCCCTGTACTTACCCCACAGGCCTTGCCTCCACTCTACATGGCCCCTCAACACTAGCCTTCACCCCTACTCTAATTCATACTCAGCCTCTAGCTCTACAGAGCCCCTACTACATCTCCATCCTCAGATCCTGCCAGTGGATTCTGACTTCTAGGTTGACCCTTGCACGTTTCCATCAGCTCAGGCCCTGCCTTCAGCCTAACTCCAAAGGGTGGTGTCAGGCACACTTATCAACCAGTACACACACCACCCCAAACCTTGACCTCACCTGGTCGCTGCACCAATACCAGCCTGAGACAATGGTAAGCCCCAGGAGCAGTGCAGGCCATGGCAGGTCTCCTGTCACTGGGTCACGCAGTAGGTGATAGGAGTCGGGCCTCGGTTGGTAGCAGGTGCTGGAGATGTTGCCAATAGCTGGATCCTTGGACACTGTCAGCGAAGTCACTGCTCCCAGGTATTTGTCGAAGAGACCCGAGTACCCGCCCACTTCATGGAAAGCTGTGCAGGCAAGGTTGTCAGGTGATCTCACCCAAGTGTTAAGGCCCTACTTAGGACCCATGTGGCAGAGACAAGCAAGGTTCCAGACCCTGGGGCTGAAAGCTCTTTGACAGCAAAGATCCATGTCCTCCCCACATTGGGTAAACCCCGTACCGTAACCACTGAGGACGAAGGCCCCGGCAAGAATGACAAAGGTCTGCACAGTGTCTGTATACATCAGTGCTGCCAGGCCTCCTGCAACGACCTGGAGTCAGTGGAGGACAGCACAGCTGCTGGACCCTGGTACCCATATTTTCTGAGAAGTGCCCATTCTAGAGAACAAATTTTACTTAAAAATGATGCTAGCCTTGTGCACTGGGGCACCAGGAAGCAGAGTTGAGTTTTAGAGTCCACTGATGCTTTCTTGGCCAGGAACCCATGTGGTACAAGATGCCCATAATACGCTCCTTAGTCTGTTTTCTCAACTGAGTAATGGGATGTGTGGGGGGAGGTGATTCCTCTAAGGCCCAGCCCTTTGTTACATCCTATCCTGCAGTAGGCTTCCAAGCCCATTTTAGCACCATTCTACCCAATTCTGTGTGTGATCCGGGGTCCTGGGAACTGCACTGGATTTAGCCAAAGATCTTGGAGACTGACCAAGTCAACTTTTCAGACATCCATGAAGGGTAGAAGATTCTAAATCATTTCCAAGCCAGCTCTCTATCACCACCTCCAGTTCCCCGCCCACCACCGCCACTCCAGCGCAGCCAGCCACCTGTCACAGTATAAATCATGGTGATGCCCAAGAGTGCAATGACAGAAGCATAAATGTTCCAGCCCAGGGCCTGCTGTATGAAAACCGCCCCGGAAAACATGTCCACCTTTCAGGAGAGAACAAACGCATGGATAAGAGGCAAAGGCAGTGACCCAGGCCCACCTCCTGCCCCCCAAACCACCCATCCTATGTGACCATATCTCAAAAATCCACTGCACCTTCCAATGACCTAGTCTTCCTGGGTCCTAACCACTGTGCCCACAGCTTTCCAGACCTGCTCTTCTCACCCCCAGCCCTGTGCCCCCGTGATTCCTGCATTTCTCCTTGGTCCCGCCTCTTCCAGAGCTCTCTGAAGACCTCATTGGGCGTTTCTACCTTTCTAGCTGTAGTGCCCACCGCACATGCGCACCGAGATCTTGGTGAAGATGTACAAAAAAAGTGAGAGCACCGACAGGTAGAGGCGTATACGGTGCCCACCAAAGCGCTTGCGTAGGTACTGAGGCATTGTAATCACACCAGCGGTCAGATACACAGGCACGAAGAGCCAGCCGAGGAGCAGCACCACAAAGAGCGCCTGTGGGAGCACATGACAGCCCAGGGTGACTCTGTCTCAGCATCTTAAGCAGGCTTGTACTAATCCTCACACCCAGGACCCAGAAGACAACAGCAGAAAAGCCTGGGCCCTGAACGGGAAGGGACAGAATCTTGACATATTCCTGGCACCTTAGCTAGAGCCCATTTTGCACTTACAGGCCATCTCCTACCAGGTCTACTCCAAGGAGGTCTTTCCAGCCCGTCCCTACCTCTCTAGCAAATGAAGCTGTGGGCACTGACTCTTTCGACTGACCTCAGCATCTACCGGGCTCCTCCCTTCCTCCACCCACCCAAGAATTTTATCCTCAAAGGCTCAGTTCAGAGGTCTCCTCCAGGGAGCCTCAACCTCTCATCTCTCCAATCCTCCGAGGTGAACTGAGTCCCAGGGCTTGGTCTCCTTATTTTTGAAAGATTTCAATTCAGCTAGAGATGTCCAGAGACCACAGCGTCAAAGACCATGGGGACTGATACTTCTGCATCTATGAGCTGCCTGCTCTACTTCAGAGTAGAGCACATAGGTCAAGGCCCACCCAGGACTGATGCTAGCACATACAAGAAGTCAGCAGCAGGACCTACCTGTACCCTACTGCCTGTAAGCTAGCATGGGATCCTTGCTCCCAGCCCAACCTCACCCCACAACTGGGCTGTTCCAACTTATTCATATCCCCACATCAGGAGCCTCCCCATAGTGTGATCTTTCCGGGAGTTTCCACTGGGGTGGGTTATTATAGAAGAAAAGACCTCACATTCCATTCAAATCCAGCCACAGCCAAGCCGCTTGCCGCACCAGTCCCTGCCAGGCCCACAAAATGACCACTGCCAATGTTGCTGGCGAACAGAGAGGCTCCAACCTGGGTGGCCAGAAATGAGGTTGAGCTAGGCTGCTCCTCTAGGGTCCCTCCCATCCCATGGCCCAGCCCCTCTCACCGGCCACCACACCATGTTTCGTCCTGCCAGGAAATAGCCACCAACTGTGCCTCTGTTGGTTCTGAACATAGACTGGGAAACAGAAGTGGGGGGAAACTGGGATTGGGGCACATCTTTGAACTTCATTAGCTTCCTCAACACATTCCTCAGCCTTGTTTCAGGCTGAAGATTAACCAACACTAGACTCCCCCGATTGTTCCCTTATCCCTAACCTCCTCCCAGACTCTCAGAACACCCCGGTCCTAATCCTAGTGTAACTACTGGAGCCTAAATATGGCTGGATTCAGCCTGACTTACCTGGTGGCTTAAGATATGGGCTGTAGCCACAATGCAGACAAGGGAACAGAGACCTCATTTAGAATGCTTAGCTTAATGAAAACCCAGATACCCCCACCCTCTTTTGCACAGTCCAGAATGCATGAAGACAAAGAGTTAAAGATTTGCTTGCCTAGTGGACCTACGTTTCTCCCTCAGATATCCAAGTACCCTTCTCCCTCCTCTCTCTGAGGTCTCCCTAAATCTTCACCCTCAAGCCCCAGAACTGATTCCCTATCAAAACCCCCACAACTTCTCACCCATAAGCCAACGCCAATGACCAGCAGGAAATACGCAGCAATGACCAGAATGTCAGCAGGGTTGTCAATCAGGACCCTCTGCTCCCCAAGTTCAGAGCCTTCCTTTATGCGTTCCTCCATTCTCTCCAGCATCTGCCCCTCAAAGGGCTAGTTCCTGGATTCTCCCAGTGGAAGGATTAATGGTTACCTCAGGAGCACTGAGCCGACAAGTCCCCCAGGTCTCAACCTCCCTCTCCCGTTTTATTTAGCTGAATCAGGTTTCTACTAAGGCCGAAGGCTGGTCCTGGGGTGCTGGGCCCTTCTGAGTTCAGGAGCATGCCTTCCTGGGTTTAGGCTCCATCACATACCCAGTGTTCCAAGCAAAGTCACTTCCTGCATTCTCTGAAAATACACCCCTTAGCTTCAATATAGGGAGCCTGGCTTATGGAGCCTCTAGGTTCTAATGCAAAGCTGCCATCATTGGTCCTATGCCTGGAAGTCCTCCATAGCTCCCCATCACATTTGGCAGGAAGTACATGCTCCCCAGGCTGACTACCCAGGACTGCCAGACCCTGACCTCTTCCATATAAAACCTGGAATGAAATTACATTGCCTTCACCACTCCCCTGCCCTTCTCAACCCTAATACTTCCGAGTTTCTTTTTGTTCTATCCCAGGAATTTTTTTAAAATTTTATTTTAAAAAAATTGTCATACATTATATATTCATTCCCTTCCTCAACTCTTCATAAATTTCCTTCCCTCCCCAATCAACTTCATATTTTTTTCTCTCTCAAAGAAAGAAAGGAAGGGAAAGAGAGAGGGGGTGAAGGAAGAAGGAAGGAAGGAAGAGCAGAAAAAGAAAAGAAAACATGGAGGCTGTTTCGTGTTGACCAGCTAGTCCTGAGCACATGGCCTGCCCTGGAGTGCAGTTAATATTCCCAGTGTCTCTCCATTGAGAAAGCTGATTTCCCTCTTCCAGTAGCTATCAATAGCAAATAGTTTCTTGATTGGGATTTTGTGCCCATTCCCCCTTCTCCATGCTGGGATTTTGTCTCATTTGAACTTGTGCAGGTCTTGTACATGCTGGCACAGTCTGTGAATTCACATACACGTCAGCCCTGCTGTGTCTGGAAAATTCTGCTTCCTTGGGGTCAACCTCCACCTCAATGACATAAGTGAGTACCATCTTCAGGAACAGAGCCTTGCCATCAGGTTATGGAGAGTAGCCAGTAGCCTTGGCAATAGCCTGTAATGCTTGGGATTCCATAGACCTCTTAGGCCAACAACTTCATCAGATGATAACCTGTTCTTGGTACTGGGATTTTGTTTAGTAACATACGATGTTCAGTTAGGACATTGTCTCCCTCATTAGACGGCAGCTCCATTTAAATTCTACTCATGTATTGTATGTTTTAGGGAGCTTCTAAAGTAGTAGGTTTTCATATGCCTCTTCTTTTATTTCTTTTTTAATTGAAAATAGACTTTTCCATATTATATATTCTTATTACAGTTTCCCTTCCCTCCAACTCCTCCCAGATCCTACCTACCTCTCCACCCACTCAAATCCTCTCTCTCTCTCTCTCTCTCTCTCTCTCTCTCTCTCTCTCTCTCTCATTAGAAAACAGCCACCTAAAAAACTAAAACAGAATAGAAAAAAAATGGAGAGGAAAAAAAAAGAGCCAAAGAAATGCACAAAAAAACACATACAGATGCAGAGGCACACATATTTGCACACACACAAAATCCCACAAAACCACAAAACCAAAAACTATAATATGTAAGCAAAAGACCCATAAGGAAAAAAAATCCCAGACTAAGCATTACAAGACAGACAAAAATAGCTCCCCAAAAACCATTGAGTTTGTGTTTGTGTTGGCCATCTACTCCAGGGCATAGGGCCTACCCTTAAGTGTGGTTTGTATATCGACTGAGACTCCATTGGAAAAAGCTAATTTTTCCTTTGCAAGCAGATATCATATGGAGATAGCTTCTGAGTTGGGGATGGAGGTTCATGTCTACTTCCCCTCTTGGACTTGGACCCATATGGCTTAGACCTGGGCAGGTCCTGTGCATGATGCCAGTGTCTGTGAGTTCATATGTGTGTCAGTCCTATTGGATCCAGAAGGTCGTGTTTCATTGGTGTCTTTCATCCCCATCTTACACTCTTTCCACCTCCTCTTGTGTAAAGTTCTCTGAACCCTGAGGTCAGGGCTTTGATACAGACATTCCAGACCTCCCTCCCTCCCTCCCTCCCTCCCTCCCTCCCTCCCTCTCTCTCTCTCTCTCTCTCTCTCTCTCTCTCTCTCCCTGTGTGTGTGTGTGTGTGTGTGTAGGCAATGCCCAGATGAGGGTCCCTGTATTGGTTCCCATCTGTAGCAGAGGAAGCTACTCCGATGATCCACACAGCTTTTCAAAAGCCCTTTACTGTTAGTGGTCCCTCCTCACATCTTCTCCTCTACCCTGTGCTCCCATTTAATCCTTCTATTCTAATTTTCTCCTTGCTCCTTTATAACACTGTATCCTATTTCCTCTGCCTTGGAAAATCACCTCTCCTCCTTGGTCACATAGTAGCTACCTAACATATTATGAATGAAACAAAATATCTAAAATTTAAAAGCTAACATCCACATCTAAGAGAAAACCTGCAATATTTCTTTCTGGGGATGGATTATCTCACTCAAAATTATTGTTTCTAACTCAGTCTGCATCTCGGTCATTTGTTTCATCTTTTGATAACTCTCTACTTATTTGGATACCCCATTTTTAAATCGGATTATATTTTTCTTGATGTTCATATTTTTTTTAGTTCTTTGTATATTCCAAATACTAATCCCCTATCAGATGTGTACTTTGTAAAGATTTTTCTCATTCTGTAGATTGCTCTTTGCTTGAAGGATGGTGTCCTTTGCTATACTGAAACTTTTTAGCTTCATGAGATCTCATTTAGTTATTGTTGAGCTCAATTCCTGTGCTATCAGGGTCCTGTTCAGAAGGTCCTTTCCTGTAACTAGAAATTTTCATAGTCCTCAAGTCGTTGCATATGCTGTGTCTTCTACTAGAGGAGCTCTGTTGTAGACTATTTATATACTGTATGAAGACTCGTTGCTGTGACTGACTTAAAGAGCTGAACAGCCAATAGTTAGGCAGGAGATATGTGGGATTTCTGGGGAAAGAAAGGAAGAGGAGGAGGAAGCTAGGTGTGTGGGAGATACCAGAAGGCATGGAGAGGAGGTACGAGATGAAAGAGAGGTAACACTACATGATAGAACGTACGTTATTTTTTTATTTTTTTACTTTTTTTTTGTTTTGGTTTGGTTTGGTTTTTTGTTTGTTTGTTTGTTTGTTTGTTTTTGTTGTTTGGAGACAGGGTCTCTCTGTGGCTTTGGAGGCTGCCCTGAAACTAGCTCTTGTAGACCAGGCTGGTCTCCAACTCACAGAGATCCACTTGCTTCTGCCTCTGAGTGCTGGGACTAAAGGCGTGTGCCACTACTGCCCGACTAGAACATACATTAATATAAGCAGGTTAATTTAAATTATATGAGCTAGTTAGGAACAAATCTAAGCTATAGGCTGAACTTTCATGATTAATAAGAAGTCTACATGTCATTATTTGGGAGCTGGAAGGACAGGAAAAAACCCCAAAAATCAACAACAACAAAACTTGTTACAGAGCTCTCCGCCTCCCAAATGAACAGTTCTACTCTGCCTTCAGTACCTAATCTGTGACACCTCTCTAAAAAAGATTTCTCAGCTGGTGTACAGCTATAATCACCACACTCAGTAAGTGGATAATGAGATCTTGTCTCAAAAAAAAAAAAAAAACAAAAACAAAAACAAACCCATGGGCTGGGGATGTAACTCAGTGGTTGTTATGGTACAAACATGAAATGTCTCTCACAACCTCATGTTTCAAATGTCTGAACCAAGATAGCGACATTGTTTTTGGAAGGCTAGAGACTTTTAAAGACAGTACTCAGTTACTAGTTCCTGCTTGTTCTGCTCCCTGGTCTACCATGATGCAAAGAGCCTCTACCACAGGGCACTGGGTGGTCTGCCATGACTTCTCAAGCATGGTGGACAAACCCTGTGAAACCGTGAGACAAGATAGACTCTTTCTCCTTTTAAGCTTTTGTCGAGTATTTTGGTTAATGATGCTGTGGTAGAGCACTTGCCCAGCATGCCCAAGTGCCCTGGAATTGATTGTGAGCCCTGGAGAGAGAGGGGATGGGGGAGGGGAAGCGGGTTTCTTGGACTTTTCTGATATAGTTCTGGATATTCTTGTGGTCCTTGTCTAGGTTCCTATCTCTCTCACTAGCAGATTAAAGGCTCCTCAAGAGCAATCTGATGTGATTGGTTCTTGGTGGCCCATTGCTGACATCGGCTGAATAAACATCCACACTTTTGCCTTCTAGAACTGACCAGATTGGAAGTCAGAAAGTGGCATCCTGAGTCAGGAGGACTTGTTGCAAGCATTCTTGAAATGGGACACAGAGAAAGATGTTTTGAGTGAACATGGTGGCCTGTGTTTAAGAAGTGTCTAATGCTGCAAAACAGACCTTAAGAAGAGAAGAGACATATAGTCCCTGAAGACATAGAATGGTTAGGATCCAACTGAAGTTTCTGTCCTGGTTCCACCAGACAGAATGGCACAGGTCACCACCATCTTAAGTCTAGAATCCATGTGATAATTAAAGTATATTCATTCCTCGGTACCTGTAAGGTCTTGTTTCCAGAATCCACTATAGAAGTGAAGATCTAAGGATGTGGAAGTCCCACACATACCCAGATACTATACGTTATCTCAAGCTTTCCCGTGATACCTTAAATGGTGTAAATGCTATGAAAACAGGTGATATACTACATTGTTTAAGAAGTTATGACCAGGGAAGCTCTGTATATGCCCAATACAAAGGCAGTTTTCTTTCCTCGAATGAATTTGCTCAAGGCTGGTTGAATTCACACCATCCCCTGGAGTAGACATGCTGGGTGCCCTGCCCATATGCACATGGTCCATCATTAAAGTCACAAAAATTCCCTTCCAAGTCACCTAGGTTCTCAACTACTTCTTCAGTTTCTTGTCTGAGAATAATCCTTAAAGGAGGGAGTGTGACACAGAATCCAGTCATGGAAGGCCAAATGTCATTGGACACATGATTCTAATAATATGTGAAGGAGTAGAGGAAGTAAGACAAAGGAGAAGGGCCAGAAAGTGATGCATTGTTTAATGGGTAGAACCAATGGGAAGCTGGTACAGAATGCACCTCAGAATGAACCATTAATGGGCTAGGAAACTTGGGTATTTATTCACCAATCTCTGTCTTTCAGTGGGAGGAAAATGTCACATATACACACAGGTGTGCATGCATGCACGTGCCCTCACCCAAGAAACTGGTTAATGCCTCTCACCA